TTTCGCGATTTACTGGTGGAATTATCTGGTGTTAAGAGATAAGTAGCAGGGTGACATGGCATTGATGTGGAGAGGAACCAAAGTGATAGGAAGGCATTAATGAAGTGCCCAAGTGGCACTATGTGATTGGTCCACTTGTTGGACATTTTTGACTTTTCTTATCATGGATTAAATTATCTCAAAATGACTTAAAAATTCATTCTTTCTTACCTCTTGTTGGCCGTTCTCTCTTTGGACAGGAAAAAACTTCTTCAATTTACAAGCCTTCAAACTAATCTCAATCTTCCATTCCAACCAATTAAACTTTAGATTTGCTCCATAAAATCACTCCATTAGGTGCCTAGTAAGTGACTTGGTGAAGTTGTTTTTGAAGCTTCTAAGGTGGCCAACCTCTCTATCTCTCTTAATTTCTTGGTAAGTGATGCCTTGAACACCCTACTACACCTAAATGATGGTTATATTATGCTTAGAAGAGGCTTGAGTGTTGGATTATATGATTTATTTCTTGGTTTGGCTTGATTTGGTGAAGTTTTCCATTTATATGAGAATTTTCTGGTTTCATATGATTTTTGATGTTTTGGACTAGTATGATGGTTGGTAATTAAGGCGGCTTTGGCTCTAGTAGTGTGAATTGTTGTTAAATGCCAATCAATTTTGGATTTGGAATGAAATGTGAAAAGTTAGGGTTCTTGAACCCCTATTCTGTCCGAAATTTTAGGTCATAGCTAGAGGCCGAATTGGACTTTGCTCAAAACATGAAAGTTGTAGGTATTGATGAGTTTAGTGTGCCTGCAAAATTTTAGGGCAATTCGCCAAGTGTAGAGTGAGTTATGCCGTTTTTACTGTTGCTGTTTTTGGTGCACAGAAGGTCCGAACTGCGATAGTAATTGCCTGTTTTGACTGGAATTGGTTTGGATTGTGGAGTTGGTGTCTTCTGATGAAATGTAGCTGGATGTCTTAAATTACTTATTCCTTTGGAATTTCGGCATTTGGACTTGTATGGACTGAGATATACCGATTACAGTTTTCTGTGTTTTGCAAACCTGTTTTGGTGATTCTGGTTTAGTGTTTGGCATTTTTGACCTAGTTGGGTCAGGAACTGGATTGAGTGACCTTCTACATTGTTATAGCCCTGTCCCATAGCTTCGAAACGGTGGGTCTTACACCCCCATCCGATAATTGTAGTGAGAGTTGTGCCATTACCGCATTAGGACGTCAAAACCGGTTTTCATATCAAGGCCTTAGTTAAAGCCCTTTCTTAATTTCTGGTTTCCTTTAATGTTTGTAAATGCTTATGGAACCTTATTGGGGTCATGTTTGGCCTTGGTTTATGACTCGTTAGCGAGTCTTATTGTATTTGTTTACATGTTTTTAGGTCGTGACGGTGGTGCAACGTTCTTTTGACTAAAGTGCTTGAAACTACATTTGCTAGCTTGGTGAGTGTACTACTCACTTATGTGCTATTATATGGCTTTGATATTTGAACTTGAGATGTTGAATGTTAATTAATTGAAGTGAGAGTGTACTTTATCATTCTCACTTATTGTATCGCATGTTATTGAAAAGTTATTGGAATTTTACATGAAATGTTATATGAAATGAAATACATGACTTCAAATGTTATCCATGCGCTCAACCCCATTGGTAGTTGATTGAATCGAGCCAGCAAGGGCTTGGTCGTGACAATTAATGAGCCTTGGGTAAGGTTATATGGAATCGTGTAGTATGAGAGACTCTCGATTCCGGTATACTCGAGTAATACCACAATGCATGCGTTTGGATTTCGGGCCCGGTTGAGGAATGTTAGGAGGAAGGGAATGGAAGTTAAGTGGGTCTACAGTTGGTTACTTTTCAAACATTGACGGAGAGTCAATGAGACCGATCAAGAATTCAAACGAGGAAAAGGGCTCTTGAGAGCCACCCGTATCCTTTTATCCTCATTATTAATGTGTGGCTTTATTTATTTTGGTAAAGTGGACTGTTAAGCTTGATGTATCCATGAACTTGGTTGCTTGAGTTGTATTCTCACTGGGCAATTAGCTCACCCCGTTCCTTTTGTTTTCCTTACAGGAATATGACTCTTTTGGAATGAATTTTGATAAATGGTTGCCAAATGAACTAGATGAATGACTCTTTTGTATTGTATATAAAATGGGACCCTAAATGTATCATTAGGGCCGTTTTCACTTTTGTCTTGGCAAACCATATATGTAGCGACTTTTGTATCACTTTTAAATGTCATTTTTGGTTTGTAAAGGCTAAATGTTATGGGGTATATGTAATTCGATGTTTGGTTGGGTTCGGACGAGTCGGTTACTATTCATGGCCGACTCCGGGTTTCATTTTCTTTTATTTTGGGTTATTTTGCCCTTTTGCCTTATTTGCGCGCGTTATAAGTTCCGGAACGTGAAAGATCGCTCTATACTGCACCGTTAGTCCTGGCGAGAGCTGGGCAGGCAGTCCGCTAACCTCTTTGGTTCGCCTTAGGGGAAAGTGGGGCTGTCACACAGAACCCATCCGTCATATACCATTATCTTGTCCGAATCCAAGCCCTAAAACCCAAAACAGATTTGATGTCCTTTTGCGGTAATGGTACCAAAAGCAGTACGATGGTCGGATGAAGGTGCAAGACCCACCGTTTCGAAGCTAAGAGACAGGGCTACAACAATGTAGAAGGCCTCTCAGTCCAAATCCTAGCACAACTAGGTCAAAAGTGCCAAATACCAAACCAGAAGTACCAAAACAGGTTTGCAAAACGCAGAAAACTGTAATCGATATAACTCAGTCCATACAAGTCCAAATGCCGAAATTCCAAAGGCATAAGTTATTTAAGACATCCAGCTACATTTCATCAGAAGACACCAACTTCAAAATCCAAACCAATACCAGTCCAAACAGGCAATTACTATCGCAGTTCGGACATTCTGTGCACCAAAAATAGCAATAGTAAAGACGGCATAACTCACTCTACACTAGTCCAATTGCCCTGAAATTTTTCAGGCACACTAAACTCATCAATACCTACAACTTTCATGTTTTGAGCAAAGTCCAATTCGGCCTCTAGCTATGACCTAAAATTTCGGACAGAATAGGGGTTCAAGAACCCTAACTTTTCACATTTCATTCCAAATCCAAAATTGATTGCATTTAACAACAATTCACACCTACTAGAGCCAAAGCCCCTTATTACCAACCATCATACTAGTCCAAAACATCAAAATCATATGAAACCAGAAAATTCATCATAAAATGGAAAACTTCACCAAATCAAGCCAAACCAAGAAATAAATCATATAATCCAACACTCAAGCCACTTCTAAGCATAATATAACCATCACTAGGTGTAGTAGGGTGTTCAAGCATCACTTACCAAGAAATTAAGAGAGATAGAGAGGTTGGCCACCTTAGAGCTTCAAAACAACTTCACCAAGTCACTTACTAGCACCTAATGGAGTGATTTTATGGAGCAAATCTAAGTTTAATTGGTTGGAATGGAAGATTGAGATAGTTTGAAGCTTGTAAATTGAAGAAGTTTTTCTTCCTTGTCCAAGAGAGAGAATCGGCCAACAAAAGGTAAGAAAGAATGAATTTTTAGTCAATTTTTGAGATATTTAATCCATGATAAGAAAAGTCAAAAATGTCCAACAAGTGGACCAATCACATAGTGCCACTTGGCACTTCATTTAATGCCTTCCTATCACTTGGTTCCTCTCACATCAATGCCATGTCACCCTCTACTTATCTCTTAACACCCGATAAATTTCCACCAGTATCCGAAACTTAACCTTATTGGCCGAATTTTGCCGTACTTTTCGCACTAGTGGGTCCCACGTCCAAAATATATTCTTAATTTTCTAAAAACTCACCAATACTAGAAAAATCATTTGAAAACGATATTTGCTCATAAACTTTATCTGGGGAATTTTTCTAATCAAGAAAATGTAGAAAATGCGGGCGTTTAAAAAAATAAACCCTAGAAAATTAGAAAATTTCCGGTTTCTCAAACTCATTTTTTTTCGGGGCGTCACAGACCGACTCTGCATCCTACTCTGTTGTTGCTCCAATTATCACTTGATATACTTTAAAGGAAGGAAAGGACTTTGAAAAGTAAAGGTGGTGATTAGGAGCCATCTATAAACCTACAGTCACTGCAAAACAGAAAACTCAGACTCAGGACTTCACATAGCAAATCATGAGGCTAACTTGAAATTGCATGACATTTTTGTTTAGACAATTATTCAGAAAGCTAAATCAATATTTTTTTTTTGTTCCTCTTTTCCAACGTAAATCAGTAAGCAGATATCAAATCTTTCTGTTCATTCCACAAGTACCAGAAGCATCACAAAAACTATATAGCTTTTGTTCAAAACACTGATAAAAGAAAAGTTCTATAGCAATAATGAGAGGCAGAGGTCCCAGAATTGCCATAAAAGCAAACTATTTGAGACTGCAAGATGCAACAAGAAGAGCTAATTACAACTATTTTACTCTTAAAATCTCAAATCATTGCATTTGAACTTAAACTTCAGAAGAGGATAGTCTACCAAGTCTCTGCTGCTTGAAAATGTCTTAAACATGACAATTTTTTTTAAGGTCTTAGTTAATGCATCGGTTATTAAACTGCTTAAAACCCAATGTTAAGTAGTGAAAGAAGATGGTTGGTATTATAAATTATCAGACTACCAATCTCACAACCAAGGGCAGTCAGAGTAACTCGATTGACCATTGGATTTATGTAAAGAGATCACAGCTGAAGAAAGTAGAATCCCATCATTTAAGAGACATAATAAGAATACCAATAATCAGATAATTTGGAGAAAGATGATAAATACATTCCTAAGAGGTGGAAGTTCAGAGTAAGCATTTAAATCCTCGTAGAATCTCAAGTTTAAAGAGAATTAGCTCCTTTCAGCAATCATGATATACAACTGGAGGTAGTAGACATATGAGCTGAGCAAAAGTAATCTGCTAGTTCTTATTTAACACAAAGAATTTTGTACCGTAGATGTAAAGTTTTCAGCTTTGACTTTGCTTAACTGTCCACATCAAATAATCTGCTCTTGAACACGTATTCCATAATTGAATTTAATACATGGTTAGCGACATTGTTTTCTTCCCGAAACAGCACTTGTTAAGTTTCTCTGAATCAGACTGAAAAAGCCAAGAGAAGTTCAACAAAGCAGACTACTAACCTTCAACAAACTAAAGCTCCAAAATTGCCAATTTACTTCTATAATTCGCAGCCTATAAGGTAGTACAATTAACAATTGAGATCTCTAAGTGCAACCTGCAATCAACTTGCTAAATGATAATTCTTCAGTCCTTACTGTTACATTACTAGACAACATCTTGGAAGCAGACGTTTTAAAACTTCAGATATTTTGCAACTAAATCATCTTGCTGTACAATTTTTATCACCTGATATTGGATGGATTTAAAAAAATTTAGTAATGTTTTCACTGGAGTATGTTGTTCTGAAGAGACAAAAAAACTAGAAATTGACTCTTAAAATCTTTGTCCATCATTGCCTACTTATAATTTTCTATGTTCCGTCAAACTTTGATTTAACAATCTATTTCATAAATGTAAACACATTATCATTCTTTCCTAGCAAATTGATAACCAAATGAACTTTTAGAGTACTTAGTTGGATGAGGAGCTTTTAGATTGAAAATCTCAGGAAGGCATGTTTGCCTGCATTACAATAAAGATAGAAGAGCAAATTCCATGTCATTTTTGAGCTAGGAATCTTACAGAAAGAAAGGGTTTCTTTTTGTTACCTTTGTTCTAAGACTAATGAGCAGGAAATAAGACTTGATACTTAGTACATCTACTAATCCATTTAAAACAAATTTGCTAACCTTACAGTACTTCTTGAAAATTTTCAAGCTCCTCATTGTCAATCTGTTTCTCTAATAGAAGCTCTATCACCAACCAAACCCCCCATGATCATTAGCAGAAATTCATGTTAATGATCGCTCTTGATGTTGAAAGACATTACATAAGCTGGGTAAAGAAATTCAGGTGGGTAGTTTGTAGAGGCCAGCTGACAAAGATAGAGCATTTTATCGGGTTTTAGACACCAGGAAGAAAGAAAAGTGTGCCTGTAGTGTGCCATCCTAATCATTTCTGTCCAATTGAAACAGAATTTGATTCAACAAAGTTTTCAAAAGTTACAAGCTATGTAATTCAATCAATAAGTAAGTGCAATTGTAGATTCTAGTCCACATTTGAGCCTGAGATCATTGCAGAACAGAAAACTCAAGTTGAGACAATATGTGAACAAGAAAGCTAATCAGAAAGTTCAGAAAGTTCAACAATAATTTTGTTCTGTCATTCCTACAAAAGGCTAAAATATGTCTTGTTTGTTATCAAAATAAATAGATAAGCAAGTACTAAGTCGTGTTTACAATTACAGTATTTTGGTTCCAACCACAAAGCAAGTAATTACAACTCATAAAAAGAAAATAATAATGGACAATTTGTAGTGCAGGCAAAGCATTTCACATTGAGGCATTGAGAAACAATAGAGGTGTGGGCCACTGAGGCACAATAGAGATCCACATTTAATTGCTACCAAAACACCAGTTAGTTCTAACTTCTAACTCTGAGCAGTATGCCGGAGATGACAAATTGAGTTCTAAAACATGTAAATCAGCACCTCATTATCATGACTACACATCACTGAATTGTTTCGATAGTTTAAAAGAACCATACCCCAATGGATATCTCAGACTTTGACCATCTGAGGCACAGAGAAAGAGAGAATGCCATCCTAGATGTTGTTATTCAGCCGAAGCAGGCTCTTGTTCAGCAACGAATTGTAGGACTCTCAAAAAGTAAAGACAGTAGGTAAGAGCCATCGATGAGGTTCCCTGTTTGTGCTCAAAATCACTGCAAAGCACAAAAACTCAAACTGAAGGCGGCGAATAGCATAGAATAAAACTAATGGAAATTTTCAGATAATTGTAGCTTTTCTGTCATTGTAACTGAAGCCCCAAAAGGAGAAACTTACCTTAAAAAAAGAAGCAACCAACAATCATAAAAGCAGAGAGAGCTTAAAAGCCTTTATCAGTAGCAATGCTTGTCGCAACAAGCAGGTGGATTCATTAACAGTAGCAAGTCGCAACAAGCAGACTTGACCAACTACCAGAATGCTTCAAAACTTTGCGCTTAGAGTTAAATGTTGGAAGATACTCCACCAAGTTTTGTGCAACTTCATTGCTCAAACAGTACACACCTTCCTTGGCTACCTCAAAAATATGAAAGTTCATTTATGACTCTGATAAAGCAATTACTAGTCAAATAGTTCAGATAAATATGCAGAGCACGTAAAAGTTCATTATCAAGAGGTAAAAGTTCAGTCCCCTTAGAATTACAATTTTAAACAGAGTGAGATGACTTTAGCAATAATAACTTGAAATCCACAGAAGCAGAGCACGTAAAATAAACAAAAATAGACTATTTGTAGGCTATGCAGGCCAAAAGTTGATAGCCTATGCTAGTTGTTCTAAACGTTGATAGGCTATTGCGGTCTAGCCATATAGACGGTGCTGAAGAAGCTTCAAAATTCTAACCAGTTCGTGAAGCTATTCTTCTATCAATCCTACAAAAACAAAGCATAGAACAGAATATGAACAAAGATACAGTAAAACATCAAAGCACGAAACAGAACAGAGTATTACTATTATGTTGTAAGGAGTAAATGAAGAGCACCAATATTTTGGACCTAATAAGAAATGCTAATGCCGCAGCTTTGAAAGATAATAAATAGGACGATAAAAAGGGAGAAGAGAAAACTGTACAAATAACCACGGAGACTTTTTAGGTTTTCTCACGAGAAGGTTAATCAGAGAGGGAGGTGAAGAGAAGGGGAGATTGATTGTAAAGCAAATTAAGAAAGTTGGACATAATCGAGAACTTGATTAGCGGTTATGTATAGGTCTTGAATGTGAGAAACTTTGGACCACTGGGAGTCGGGGCCGCTGCTCTCAGGAGTGCATCTTTCTTTTAACAGAGGAGAACCATAAACCTCCAGACGTTTTAGTTTGGTGAGACTTCTCATGGCATCCTCAGAGGGTAGATGTCCAAGCTCCGTGAAATGCCGTAAATGCAGGAATTCAAGAGCAGCGAAGTTTCCGAACCAATCTGGCAGAGCTTTTATACCTCCAAAGTCGCGTAGCCATAGTGACGTCAGAGTGGTCAAGTATTGGATCCGATGTGGCAGGGACTCCATGTGTGGCAACCCAATTAATGCTAATTCATGGAGTGCAGATTACGAAGAGGATATCAATCCAGACCAATCAAACTCATTGTAAATTGAAGAATTTTCATGATCATCACCATCATCTGAGAAGGGACCAATTACAAGCTTCCTTAAGCTGGTTAGGAAACCAAATCCTTTGGGTGTCATGCTTGTTTTCAGTTTGGGACAGCAGTATAATCCCAGCTCCAAGAGAGAAGGCGTTTGTTGCAAATCAAGCGGAAAGGAGACAAGATTGTCGCACCAACTCACCTGAAGCTTCTGGAGAGAGGCACAAGAGTGCAGCAAGTCACCGGGCAGATTCGTCAACCCATCGCACTCATCAATCACCAGCTCTTTAAGAGACGTAAAGTTTTGCAGGGGAAGGAGTTCTCTGCATCTGTTGCAGAAATTAAATGCCAAACGCGCTAACTTGGGTGGTGGTGTTGTTGTTGACTCGGGGAGTGTTGTTGTTGTTGGCAAATTCATTAACCATCGAGGAAATTGATTGCCCATAAAATTCCAAATTATCAACTCCTCCAAATTTGGGTGGGGTAGAAGGCCATCTAACACATCTTCATCGTTGTAGTTGTCACCTTCTCGATCAGGGGCCCACTTAAGTTCCAGCCTAAATAGATTTGCCTTTTCAGATAGTTTTGCTTCCTTAGCTCCTTCCTTATCCTTTACTAGTTCCAGATTGCGTATCTCCAATTTGCCTTTGAGGTTCTTCAAGCATCCAAGCTCTCCAATTTGTCGACCCTTCTCTCGACCCACGCTAAAGAACTCTAGAGTTTGAAGGCAAGTCAGCCTTCCCATCTCTCGCAGCATTTGAAATTCTTCATCATAATCTATGTAATAGTGGAGATGTCTCAAGCTAATCAAATTGCACATTCCCTTCGGAAGATCTTTAACATTTGAGCCACTTAGCGTCAATGTCTGCAGATTATAAAGCTTGCAAAGGGAGTCTGGCAAAATACTGATTGAAGACCATGAAAGGTTAACATACCGCAAATGTATCAGTTTGCCAATTGAGACTGGTAGCTCTTGAGTTCTTCTTGCACGAGACAAATTCAAAACATACAAGTTCTTCAACTTCATTAACATATCACCAGATAAGTCACCATTTACGATGAATAATGTATGAAACGAAGTTGATAGACTCTCCAAAAGTTTTTCTCTGTCTTCTCTGGCACCAGATGAGTCTATTGCAAGGTAACGAATCTGATCACCATTGTCTACTATATGCGTATTCCAATCATTAATGACTTTGGTAGACTTTGACATTGACTCTGCAAGGTCGTGCACCAGATCATGCATCTTATAATATGTTATCCCATAGCTTCCTGTTTCTTCAAACAATGAACTCTGCAATAAAATTCTCAGATAATTAATTCCAATTTCCTCCATCATCGTTTGGCTGTTGACGTCTGCTTGGAGGAAGCCTTCAGCCATCCAAAGTTCGATCAGCATATTTCTTTCCATCTGAGTATCCTTAGGAAATATAGAACAATATGCAAAACATTTCTTAATGTATGGAGATGGCAAATTATCAAAACTCAACTTAAGTATTTGCATCACACGATCTCCACCTACACTCAACCTCAGAAGCCTATTGTCCAAAATTGATTACCACTCCTCTTTTCTCTTTAAACGTAACAGACCTCCCATTACACTTGCAGCCAATGGTAGACCGTCACATCTTTTGATTACTCTCTTTTTAATTGCTTTTAGTTCATCAGGTTCTCCTTCCCCTCCAACTACTTTTTCTTTTACGATAGACCAACAATGATCATCAGGTAGTTTTCTTAATGGATAGGCTTCATTTTCCATCATCAAAACTCTAGACACACACTGCGCCACTGGACCTGGACGAGTAGTGACCAGACACCAGCTTCCATTAGTTGGATTGAGCCCCTTCAAGGTGTTGAAAAAGTCCTCCCACAATGCTTGATCATCATCCCACACATCATCAAGGACTAGGAAATATCTTTTTCCCCTAGGTTGCTCCCAATTTTTCCAACGATGACATTCCTATCATCCACTTCAACCTTTTCTCCCGTCAATTGCAATAAAATGAGTTTGAAAAGCTCCACTATTGGAACTTTTCTCGATACACAAACCCAAATTTTTTTGTTAAAGTGTTCATCAATTTTCTTGTTGTTGTATATGGATTTAGCCAAAGCTGTTTTGCCTAAACCTCCCATACCAACTATGGGAAGAACAGAAACAACCTTCTCGGACGGGCTCAACAACATCTCTAGTATATTTAATTCATCATCGGCTCTTCCAGTCATTGGAACAAGAACAGAGTCGGTCTGCCGATTTCTTGTGTCTCCAACAGCAGGAGCAGCAGGGAGGGCAGCAGGCACGACTGCCCTACTGACCAGTAGCAATCCGTTGGCTTCTTGATAGATGCCATTCAACTTACGTTTGATGTCCCTGACCTTAGAGGCCATTCTCCAACGAAAAGCAAGATTAATGTTAGAGCAGGAGAAGAAGCAGCATACCTTGAGCTTGTGTCGGTTTCGGGACTCCACCTGGTGACGAAGAGATTCATAGTGGAGCTCATCCAACACATTCTGAGCATCATAAGCCACCTCATCGAGACACTTCAACCATCGTTGCACTCCTCTGCTTTGGTTTTGCCTTTCCTCAGCATCAGCCAGGACATCTTTGATAAGGCCAAGAGATTGTGCCATGCTGGCCACGTCCTTCTTGAGCCCAACTAACATACCAATCCTATCAGAGGCAAGAGACAGTGCCCTTTCCAAGGTGACCTGAATTGTGGCACCGATAACAGGGTCGGCCATTTTTTTTTCTTTTGAATATACAACTTGGATTCAGTCTTGCGATCAAGATGGTTTTTTAAAATGGGAGGTTTTAGCAGCCAGAAATTGGTAATGTTACAAGTGGTTAAAAGGAGAAGAGCATTGATATTTGGTCAGCTAAAAAATGCAGAGTTATTCTTAACTTTGATGCCTTCCTTTGCAATGGAAATATATATTCCTTGCTTGGCATCTTCACTTTAAATTTCTTGGATGCTTTGAAATGCAGCGTCATTCTTAACTTTGATGCCTTCCTTCGCAATGGAAATATATATTCCTTGCTCGGCATCTTCACTTTAAATTTCTTGGATGCTTTGAAATGGAAATTCCTGGCATGGGATTTTCACTTTAACTTTCTTGCTGGGGCCTTCATCTTTATTCCAATTTCCATTGAGGGCTGACAATTACATTTGCTGTTTACTTAACCTATATTGCATTCATTCGTTAATCCTGGAAAGATGAACTAATTAGAACATGATTTGGTCTTAACGCACACCTTATTCTGTTGGATTTTTCTTCCTTGCTAGAGACATAAGTTGTGTCTCAATACAAAAATCAATTAGGCTTCTAATTATTTTGTTATTCAGAATCTGATATCGTTGAGCATTGAGCCTTTTCAACTTTGCATAATCAAGATGCTGAGTCTAATTTGGTGGTGTTGCCATCACATTATATTCCTTGCTTGTGTTAATACCTTGAAATGTGGATGAAGTTTGGCAAAGAATAACTTGAAATGTGGATTTGCTTCAAACTTTATATTCTGAAATGAAGTTTGGCACTAGACGCCTAAACAATTATTCAGCCTAACTGCTTTAGAAAATTTATCACAGTGCGATGGTGATTTATAGATTGATTATCACATAAACAAACTAACTCATTAGCTTGTAATGCATATAAATGATATTTAACCAAAACATTTGAATTCAGAACTTATTTTTTCTCTCTATCCCTACCAAACCTAAGAAAAAAAAAAGCCACTGATTTGCATCTTTATTTACAAAGTTAATTTAATGTACACATGACTGAGCGTTATTACATTCCCTTAGTAATTAAAAAAATTTAGTCAATTGTCCTAAATTTTCTTAAAATTGGAAACATTTTGGGACAAAAATTATTATTGATCAAAATTTTAGAACTAAAATAGTTCAAGTGCCAAAAATTGAGGACCATACTTGTTTTTGCTAAAACTTTAGAACTAAAACTGTGCAAGTGCAAAACACTAAGGACAAAAACATTTTTTCCAAAAGTTAAAAGAAACTTCAAAAAACTGGAAAAAAATATTTGCAATCGGGGAGATGTGAAATTTAAGAAACCAGAGTTTTGAGGTTCGAACTTCTAATTCCTATAATCTCAACCTTAACTAATTGACCAAGGCCTATTCTGTGCATAAAGGCTCCTCTAGTGAAGAAGAATGCAAATTATTCGACAATTTTCCAATGTTATAGGATACCAAATCCCCTTATTCCTCCATGATTAAATGCCAATGCAAATTTGCTGAAAGAAAGAGGAGCCGTGCAAGTCTGGTGTAGTTGTTTATTTTTGGACACTTTTGAGGTTTTTTGCCATGCAACTATTACCCAAGTCCCTTATTAATTTTCTTTTCAATCATGTACATTGAGTGTGCCAATAGGCACCCAAAATTCCTGCCTAAATGGAAATGCCACCCATATAGCTATCATTTCTGGGCATTAACGTGATTTCTTTCAGCTTTTGGACCTAATCTTTGTGTTAAACAATTTACAAAGTCATCTTAGGGAGCAAAGTGTAAATATCTTCAGTTAAAAAGGACAAAGTGTTACGTCTTACTCCCAAGTTCAAGAGGGTAAAGCATAGTTAGCCCTTAAATTCATTCATCCTTCTCTTTGAATCTTCTTGGTAGCTTCTCAAAGCATAAAGAAGCAGGGCCAAGAATCAGAACAAAGAACACATAAGATTGCTCTTTGCTAAAATATTTGAGAAGATTGGGCAGGTTGGGCCGTAGCTCGTAAATCCTCAACCATATATGCTACAACAGCTTTCAATTGAAGTTCAGAGAAGAAGTTTTACTTGATCTTAGGCCTAGCTTCAGCATTAATACAGATCTAGAGTCATCACTAGCTAGAAGTAAGAAATTCAAAGAAATATGACAAAACATATTAATCCGGTATTTACTATGGGCACTCGTTGACATACTTTTTTTTTTTTGGCATAGCGACACATCTAGCCTAGCCTAACCTACTCCTACTCCTAAGAGGGGGGACCTACTATCTAAGGGAAGCGACTCTAGGGAGTGGGCCTATAGAGTCGGAGGAACCTGACGGGGACTGAATCACCATCAGACCAAACGGGTGCACCACTCACCCACATGGATTTAGAGAGTCCTCATATTGAGGCACAGTGATGGAAGGTAAGGTTTAAACCCTTGACCTCCCACCCCACTTGTTGACATACTTAAATTAAGCATAACTTATTATGTTAATACACACAATCACAATTAATTTACTCCTTGTGTTATATGTTTTTTTGTATTAACTACATTTTTTTTAAAAGACTAACGCATAAAACCACTCTAAATGAGTGTCAAATTGGCACCCATTAGCCAAACTATGTTAATCCAATTAAGTTATACCAACATACGAGCAACTTCAAGCCTTCAATTAATAATGGGTGAATGTGAAAAGGCTTCATCAAACATGATTTATATATATATATATATATAACAAGACAATTTCATTCCAATATTTATACTAATGGCAGCGAATACATCAAACATGACATAGATTTATATAAATCTGAAAATCAAATAATATAACAGATTTAAAAATCTATAAATTTGACCATAACGTTGAAATTTCAAGAATATCTTCCATCAAATAAATGTCAGTACAATTCGACGAATCTATATCCATGTCTTTTGACAGATGCATAGTCAGATCTGATAAAAACTATTTCAAGTCTAAAGAAAAATTTAGATCTAACTTCTAGATTTAATTGGAGGAGTTTTAGAGAGAAGGAAGAGAGAATGAGTTTTAGAGTGAAAAAGAAGAGAGCTTTTGTAATATCCAGATAATTTGCAGCTAGCACTTGGAGTTTGATTAGTATCAAAAGCATATTCAATGACCTAATTTGCATCTAAATACATGCAGGTGACATCTTTTCACACTGTTAAAGGACATTCTGATTGTTATCTGTATCCATGCAAGCCATCTTGACAGTTAAGAGGCACTAACATTTTCAACATTTGCAGCTAGTTTGGGAGTTTAAGATAGAACAGAAAAGAAGAGAAAGCTTAAGTTATGAAAGAAAAAAAAAGAAGAGATTTAGTTTTGATATTGTTTGGGAGTTTAGTAAAAAAGAAAATTGATATTGGATACATATGCCAAAAAAAATTTGTTTAATAGACATTTAAGTATAAATTTGATATTTTAAAAATTTTTAGAAAGCTTGCTTCAACTCTGTTTTGTTGGAAAAGTATTATTAACTGTAAATGCTAGAACGATCCATCCAAAATCTTCCCATTTTTTTTTTCAATCGCTCCACAACTCCCAAACATCATAAAAGAGCTATATTCTCTCACTTTCTTCTCATTTCCTGTCAAATCTAAGCTCCCAAACAAAGTATTGGTCTCCACATGATGTACAATTATCTAACATAAGCTCCAGCGTGCAAAATCTAAAA